AACTTTAAGATACTACTTCGAGTGAGACAGTGTTATTTTACAAAGTGTAAGCGAGACAGTAAGCACGTCATTTTCTTCCAAGCAGCTGGCGTTCAAAGGATAAAATTGATAAAAAAGTGGAATTTGTAAATAGTAATGCGTATCCCATAGTGCACTCTTAGTACGATATACTATACATCAATAAAAAATAAAGTTTTCTCCTGGGACCACTCAATTAATAACCCTATCTCAACTAATAAAGTAATAAAACGCAGAGACAAACTAGTCGCGATCTGTAATGTAACTATCAAAGCGATTCGTCAAAAAACCGACATTTAAGTGGAGCATTACTTGATCGGTGCTCTCTTTGGCGATTCGCTACTATACCTTACCTTATAATGACCATTTTCAAGAAACTTAATTCGCAATAATTCAAATCATTAAGTAGAAATTAACTATTAAGAAGAAACGAATCTCTGGAAGTATTGTAGAAGCAGCAGCTACAAGTGATATTTTTCAGCCATTTTAACGCCAAAAAGTCGAGACATGAGGCGCCTGCACTTGGGAAATGTTTTAATATCTATAATTGGTAACATAGGTGGATATACTCGTAGCTATTATGTCACATTTTTTGCTAGAGTCACCTTTTTCGGTTTTTGGCACCCTCATATACTAATGTGTATTGCCAATCATCTGTAAAAAGATAATTTCAGTTGATAAAGGTGCATGTCAAGTGAGCGTTGCGATTATTTCGGTTGATCAGATGGAATATAACACCTCTATTAATTAAATAAGTATCTACGGATAAGTTAGTTGCTGGTGACATACCGCCTTGGAGGCTATGTTTTGCGTGATCTAGTCGATTCTTGTGAAGTTGTACTTCTGAAATTTCAGCTAGTTAGTGGTATGGTGTGTAAAAAGAATATGAAGAGTAGAAGTAAAAGAATTCCACACTATTTTCTCCTTGCATGCTGCCCGCTCAACTTTTGTCCCATGACCTCCTATAGGAGTTTTGCAGATAGGCGGCTGACTTTCTCTCGGGCCGCAAGATATACACCGTTATTGACTGTTTCTCGTCTTCATCCCACAATGTCAATGCAAGTGTTTTCCACGGCCTTCGCTTTGGCATTGTTACTCCTACTGATCAACGACCTCATTTCCTGCTGATGACAGCATCCTACATGCAGGAATTCAGAGCGACAAGTCGATCTCTGCCGGTGAGCTTGAAAGAAGAAGGCTAGCAGCGACTTTCTGTCCGACGAGAAACCTGGAGGTAACTTTGAAAAGATTTGCAAGCGGAACACAAGATGTATTTGAACAACGTCGACAAGAGTTTGTTTATATTGCGCATGACGATGCCCTTCAACTGATGGAAATAAATGAAGATAGGTTCTTCTTGTAGCGGCAGAGAGAGCCAGGTCAACCTGGTCATTTAGGTGGTCGAGAAATTAGGCATAAAGGAAGAAAATGCTCGTCTTAGGAACACCTAAGAACAAAAGTTCAATACGTTGCTCCTTTAACTCCTTCGACATCATCTTAGGTACCAGTGCAAGAAAATTCATCTTCAGATTACTAGATAGATTCACAAGAAACTTTGCTCACCTCAACTCAGAGCACACAGCCTGATACTAATCAAACTCAAATGAGGGAAAGTTTCATAACTCCAAAATCAGTGGCAGAATTAGATAGGTGTCACTTAAGTATGAGAAATGTTTTTATTATGGAAGCAACCGATGAACTATAAAGCTTGATTGCCGGATACTGTAACTGTCCATTGGGATGACAAATTGTTGCCACCTTTAAATGCACGCAATTCTAAAGAAAAACGTCTACCCAAATTGGATAACGCTTCAGGCAGCGAGCAGGCTCGGGTAGTTTGATGCTATTATTGACTGGAATCTTGAAGATAAAGTTCAGAATCTCTGTTGTGATACTACTGCTTCAAATACGGGTGGTCGCATTAACGGTGGCTGCATGCTTCTCGAATAGAAAGCTGATAAAGAAATACTTCGTTTTAAAAGAAGTGTTTGAATCAAAGATCGACCAAGTGAATCAAGCGCTGACATTCCAAAGTTTTGCGAGACCGGGAAAGGTGTGGATCCCGAGAAAATACATACTTATACTGGAAAGCCATGCCTAAGTATTTCAGAGACTGACAAGATGCCAGAACCCTGTCGACATGAAGTGACCACAGAATTTACAAGCAGCGTCTACCGAAAGTTGATAGAACTTTCAATAATACTCCTTGGTGGAGATACAGAGAAAAAATGTAAGGTTATATATCATATCTCCAATACAGATAATAAATATAAGATGCGACCGCCAGGCACCACGTGTCTGATAGATATCTGCCTGTTCATACGTGAAGCCGTGGTTGCAATGCACTTTTGCGGTAAGAGTACCCAGCCAGGATTTATGCTTTTGAATGAAGACTTAGGGAAGAATTAACATAACCATTTCCAGCGCAGCTTTACAAAAGATCTGCCAATATTTATGGTATTTGACAGATGGGGTGCCTGTCTTATCTCTGTTTAACGACGACGTAGATGAGGAATCTAAAGTGAAAATTGCTGCTGATTTAGCCAAAGAAAGTCCATCAGCCCACGGTAAATGCTACATCCCATCGAAAGAAGAACTTTTTGGTCCTTCCTGCGTCTTCTTTTACTACTTCGATATATTACGCTAACTGCTAAAATGAACCGCGATTCTGACAATAGATGGTACCCTGTACTGTCTTGTTTCGATAGATCTTATACCTCAGATAGAGGTTGCTATGCTTTCGTTCGTTGTTCTAACATGTAGCTAAGCCTAGGCGAAAAGCACAAATCATCTGTCCATTGTTGACTGCCTGTGGCCGGACGGACAAAACCGGTATGTTTAGATGGTAACTATTCTCGTTTTTTCATTTCAGAGAAAAATACCAATGACTTTGTTTAAATCAAAAGGAAGTCCTTGTCGACTCAAAATTAATGACAGTTTTCTCGACGAGTGTCCAACTTAATGTGTAACGCTTCCTTTCCGCAAAAAGTCCAGAAAAGATGGAATGCAATAAAGATTCCAACTTTTCTGTACAATCACAGAAAGGGGGTTAGCATTAGCTTCCGGTAGCTCAGTCGGTGGCATGAAGATATCTACAGGCGTGTAGCTGTGTGTCGACCATGGCATGGCTAGAGGATAGAAGAACAAACAGAACACAAAAATTTAACAGATTCTATTTAACAAAAAAAAACATTTCCATTACATTACAATTTTACAGTTTTAAAGAACAAAATAAGTTTTACATCTTTGGCGCTGCTATAAAACTATCAACTTATCTTTCGGTGGTCCATTTTGACTCGACTGGCCATGTGCTTGAAGTGGAGGTCCCAGTTGTGAGGGGTGACCTCACATATAGTGGCTTCATAACCAGTTGTAGGCGAAGTTAAAGGCGATGGCGCTGCCAAGGCACATGCATGGGTGAAAATATTGGCCAAGCAAGGCAAAGTCAAAGACTAAGGCAAATTGAAAGGGAAAGAGAAAGGGGAAGAGAAAGGGAAAGAGAAAGGGGGTGGCCCCAATCATTTTGTCCTATACGGACACACATTCTACAAAATTCTAGCACATGGTGCTATATGACCTTGTGCTACAGAGAAGAAAATTTTTAGCTGTTGTTCGATCGGCGGCTCAAGTGAAAAGGAAGCGCGAGGAAGATCGCAGATCAGGAACTCCGCATCAAGCGCTCCAAGCGGAAAATTTTCTAAGTAGAAAAGCTAGAGATGGGATTAATGAAATGATAATCGAGAAGTGATTTAATAAATACGATCGGACGGTGAAACCGTTACAAATGGCCACATAATGATTATTTTCAACACGTTAAGAATAACGTGCAGACGCTGAACATTCAACAATACGGCAGGAACAGCGGTCAACTTAATGCAAGAGTTCCATTGCTTAATCCCTGCTGATGAGGAACAAAAAGATTTTAATATGTTGCGTACAAGAGCACAGGCATGTATATCCTCACTGTAAAAAGAAAACTTTGAAAAGAAAATTTAGATAATAATGTTCTTTTAATAATAATAATTTATTCATCCTGTGGATCACAAACTGATATAGGATAAGTCAATTGAATATTAGTATAAACAGAATTGCCTACATACATAAATAACATTCAAAACATCAAATACAAACACGAAGTGTATAAACATGAACACGAATTGAAATAACAAATTAAAATTGAACAATAAATTAAAACAATTAAAAAAGACTATCACTCATTAAAAACTCTCCTATAGAGTAGAAAGCTTTATAACCTGTAAAATTTGCCTGATTCTTTTTTTAAATAATGTCAGCGGTAGTGGTTTACAGTCAATGGGTAGTTTTTTGAAGAGTTTTATTGCCATATATTTGGCACTCTCCTCCGTTCTAGACAACCTATGTGCCGTCACCTCCAATACTTCTCTTTTTTCCGGTATTATAAATTCCAGAAGTCAAATTATCCAGGTGAATTTTGACGTAAATCAAAATATTCAATATATATACTGAAGGCAGCGTTAATATCTTCAAAGCTGTGACTAGAGCACCTTCCCACCTTTGCAATAGTTCGAATAGCTCTTTTTTGTAATATAAGGAATATAAGATACAGATAAAGCAGTGTTTTATTTGTCGAATAAGAATTAAAAATCCATACATTATGCTTCAAATTCAATGTTTGACCGAAAGTCGTGCCGGGGTATCGTTCCCTGATCTCAATAATATTTAGTCTTTGAGTTGCTAGAGTCAAATGGAAAAAATGGAGGATATGCGTGCCTCAATTCGAAAAAAAAAATATTGTCCTATTATTAGACACCCTAATGCCTAGTAACGTAATTATCGACCGAACCCTTGCTAAGAATTCACTTTGTACGTGTATCGAAGAAAATCAAAAAACCAAAATTTCCAATTATTGTGATTTTTCAACTACCATCTAGAGCTGATAGTTGAATGAGTTCTAATAATAAGTACACTGTAAAGGAACGCGTCATTTCAGTTACGATAAATACGTGAATTAAGTGTCGTGTTTTGCACAAAGACCCATCTGGTACTGGCCGACAACCCGTTGCAATTTTCCGATATGTGTGAAGCGACGCTGAATAATTCATAAGATGTGAGCATAAGTAAGAGTTATTTAACTGCTTAGTGAAACACCACGTGAATGACTTGGTCGCTGACTTAGCTCATTACTAATCGCATACTCAGGGCTCATTAAACGTGTAGCAACCGTAGCAAATCAATTTTTATCTTACCAGTAAAACGTCTTACATAAAATACACCTACATGTCATTGTTTCCACTTTTCCAATTAACTTTTTGATAAAGCCAGTCTATGAAATATCTTTAGTATGCCTATTTCTTTCGCAAAATGGATTTTCCACGTACACTGTTATATATACTTGCTAGCTTAGTGTGCGCAAATCTAGGAATTGCTAAGGTAAGATTATTTTCTCTCCGTTCGTCTTAGTTTTACGGCTTAAATTCATGTCTTTGGTGATGGTTATGATCTTCCAGCGTTTCTATCCAAAGTGATCAGGTAAGTGCTCTTTACATTGACGTCGGCATGCTACCTTGGAGGGATTATTAGCCTTTTGTCGTTGAAATCCATTTGGACTTGTTTAACATGCTAGGCTTTCTTCTTCGGTGTTCCTAAGATGTGCCGACAAGTCCATTTAAAGGAATTTTAGGGAAATCGCAAAAAACGTTTATAACGTCTATTTGTCTTAACAAATACCAGCAAATTGAAACAAAATTTTATCAAAAAAAGTGTGTAACGAAAAACTGGTTCCCAAACATATGTTATAATTAATAATTACTTAAATTAAGATTAAAGTTTGGACTTGTCGGGTTTTGCATATAAAACATGGTGACTTGTCGGGTTTTGGTTATTAACTTTGGCTAAAACAAGGCGAATCGGCAAAACACGAACAAATTTTTGGATTATTTTATTACAAAGTAGTATTAAGAAAATGCACATTCCAAACAACATAAAATTTGTGTTTTCTAAATATCAAAATCTAAAGTTTCTTCTAAACAAAATAACTCTGTATTGGCCTCATTACCATCTCGTGAGGTTGAAGTGGATGGGAGAGGAAGTTCATCGAAGGCACTTTTGGAAAATGATAAGGCTTCATCATTTCGCCAATTACTTCCGAAATGTTTTGCAATCAAATTACTGATACTCTTCTTCTTATCCGATTTCAATGGCATTCCAACGTCTACAGTGTTTGGTTTGATGTCCAACTTTCTTCCTGTCCTCAGCAGCGGCTGGTTGGTGCCCATGTGATTCTTATAGAAACTTTCACCTCTTACTGCATAACCGGATTCAGTTTTTGAAATTATGATGCGTTTGGACACTTACAACTTGAAATGCCACTGTGATGTTGGTTTCATAACTATCTGAACTTTTGACTTCCAGTCCTGTACAGGAACATCAACTCCCAACTTGTAGATGCTTCCCCACTTCTCTATTGCTTTCATGTATTGTTCTGGACTTGTAATTTCAGGTGACTCTTTAATAACCTTCTCAATTTGTCCAAATAGCCTATCTGGTGGAATATAGGAATGCCCCACAAGTGGAAAAAATATTTCAATTTTGTCTATGTTGGGGGTACTGCACTTTAATAACCAATGGGATAACATCCCAATGACGATGGAGTTCTTATTTTGCGCACCGCAACCATTACAAAAAAGGCGAACGACTTTAGTAGATTCGCTAAACTTAAATGTGCTGAGAGTATGATATAATGCTTATGCTATTTCATTGGAGCCCCTTTGATGATCTAGTTCAGTCCATACATAGGAATTGACTGAAGTTGGACTTATTTTTCCTTTAGAAGTCCCCTGTACAATTGCAAAGTGATAAAAGTTTAGCTGCATACTGAAGTAGGCTGCTTGATCTGCGATTTTTGGCAGAGCCAGGTTTTTTTGACAATCAAAGCTGGATGTAACAACCTCGTTGTCAGCATGGACTTCTTTCAAAAGCTCATAGAAGCACTTTGCTCGGATTTTGTGAGCTCGCTGTTGAGCCATTAATCGATTCTTTGTGTTAATATCTAATGACTTTTTTATTTGGTCTTGAAACTGCAGGCATGTTGAACACATGTCGGTTTTAGGAGTACCCAAGCCAACATTGTATTTTCTGGTGAAAAAGTATCTGAAAAATGACTCCTTAACCTGAAGATCTTTGTCCACGGTATTGTTAAACATTCTCCAAAGCTTCCTGATATTTAGTTCTGCAGGCAAATAAATTCTACTGAATGTCTTAGATCGGCAATAATGGCAATAATGAGACTCTATGCACTTCAGTGATTCAACAAACTCTTTTATAGCCGCTCGCTTTGTGTTATTTTTACCTTTTGTCCGATCACCTCCACGTCGTTCTTTGGGTATTTCGTCGCTTTCCTTGTACCGTTTTACTACATTCAAAATCCTGTCTTTCTTCACTCCCAGAATGTTCATGAAACTCTGTCTGCACACATTAACCATTAGCCCATCTCTTCTTTTCACATAGTATTTCACTGACATAGATTTCGGCTTATTTTTTTCTTGTTCTCGTTTTCTTGATCTTGTGGGATCAGTAACGCTGCAGTGCTTCAATATAAAATTGTCCTGGGTGATTTTCTCTGATGTTTTGTAAAATGAGTCATACAAAAATTTTATATCTGTCATGGTCAGCAGTGATATACATTGAAAGGGCTGGTACGGCTTACCTACATGCCCACATTTTGGAAATGTTGTCAATAATTTTGCAGAATATCTAGAAAAATACATACAAATAAATTACTATTGCTACCGTGTAACAAGTATCTATTAGCTTACCTGTTGCGTTTTGCATTTTCCCGCTTTAGACGGCGTTTTAACTTTCTTTCGAGATCTATTACCTTCCGATGGTAGTATAGTATATTTTTCGCAATGCAATTCACTCATATTTTAGGCTAAAATACTATCAAACTAGATCGCACAACCTTAATCATTCGAGACTCAACGCAAAATAAACATGTGCATGCAAGTCAGGGCGACAAACCTCGATTGCAACACGTGATTGACCAAACACGAATTTCATTGGTCGACATGGACATGTCGGTATTTGAATTGAAACGACGCGTGGACATGTCGGCTTTTGCATTTCAAGGGAATTTTCTGTATTAAAAATAGCGTGTTAGAAGTCGGGTTTCGCCCTAAAAATATTGCATAGTTTGTAGCCCTTTAGATAAAGAATTCAATGGTGTACAAAACTGAAATTCCAAAATGTTGTGACTTGTCGGGTTTTGCATTTAGACGACTGATTTATTTTCATTAATTGAAGGGCATCCGCATGTGCAATATCAAACAGTTCGTAACAAACATTTGTCGACGTTACTGAAACACTTCTTATATACGGGGAAATAATGTTCGTAACTTCAAAAGGTGATTCCTTTGCATTATTGTAAGCAGAAAAGTTCATTATTTCTTATGTCCGAAAATCAATCGTTTTCGAAGAAAGTGAGCCGTAAATAATAAAATTTTCTCAAACATTTGGCAACGCTGCGACGCAACCGCCATACGAACGCACGATGACCGCAACTGATTCATTGAGTTGTTTATGTTTGTATGGTATTTTTGTTGAAAATGTGTCTTGAATTATTTAATAGTTTTACGCAATTTCTTGTGGCTAATATTTTTTTATGTAATAACGCTTTCAGTACAGTACATTCACTTAAAAAAAATGACAGAACCTACCGGTACGTGGCGATAGACACCAATTCCCATGATTATCCGTCAGTTATTTGAAACGATGCGATGCACGAAAAAAGAAAAAGAAACAACATCCGTAAATCACATGAAGCTACAGTTGACTCGACACCCGCTTATTACCTGGACAGTTATCTCTAAAGTTTAAAATTCTTCGTCCAGTTTTACCCAAGCATGTCCGAATCACGATGGGAAGATTGAAAGTTATCAAAGGAAAACAGTATTCGCTTAATCTTGGGATGCAGTCCGTAAACAATGCTTCTTCTTTTTTATTTCAGATCACAGGAGGCCAGACATGCTCTTAGTCTTTTTAGGTGTACTTCTTATAGTTTCTGGAACCCAAACAGTTTTATAATTTCTTCGCATCTTTTCTGAAAGAATAAAAGTTTCGTTATAAAGCAATGTAGTTATTACGACTTGCAGATCATATTCCCAGTTTGTATAATAATTGAATACATTTGGGTCTACTTTGCTCCAGGAGCAAAATTACTTCACCATACACAGATTAATACAAGCGGCAAAAAATTAGAGGTTAAATAATTAATGGCCAACGTGATAAATCAAAATATTAACATTTTTGCTTAGTTGATTATATGAAAAGCAACTAAAAGATACAAATGAAGCCGTGTTTTATTTTAGAATAAAAATTAGGTTTTGAAATCCATACATACTTTTCCTATCAACTTTCAAATTCAAACTTTGACCGAAAGTCGGCACAGGTTAGAATCAAATAGACAAAAAATTAAAGGATATGTGTCCGAAAATCTTTCTAGGACACCCTAATGTAAACCAATGGCTCATGTAGTGGTATATTGCAGGTAGCTCAAGAAGAAGTGACTCGAATCTTGAATGGCATTGAAAGCCTGCCGCATTCGCACCCATACCAGGTGTACATCAACATAACTGGAAAGTCCGGACAGGTTGAGTGGTACTGCGGTGGCACTCTTATCCATCCCCTTTGGGTACTAACCGCCGCACATTGTCTCTTGGAGTAAGTGAGTAGCAATGAACCAATGTTTAATAGGAGCCCTGTATCAGTGAAGTTGAACCAACGCCCCAAAGCATGATATTTGTGAATTTATTTGATGGCTGATTAAAATTGTATATTAAATATGATATTTTTGACTCCTTTAAATGTTTGTGGATTAGTTAACAAAGCGTTTTTATTTCGAAATTGTCATATTTGAAAAATGATTTGTGTATAGCAAAACCTTTGCCCATCAGTCACTGCCTAATGTACGTTAGTCGAATCTGTCAGTCCTGGTTGCCCAGAAACCAGACAATATCAACGGAAAAGAGAAAAAAAAATAGAGGAAAAAAGGAGAAAAGCAAAGAAAAACAGAGGTGTTTAGTTTAGGAGGAAACACCTAGGTTTTTGACTTGGTACACGGACTAATTTTGAGGTGAACTAAACAAAGTTTGAATCGGTTTTGTTAGAGAGTAATTTTAAGTTTATTAAATGTTCGCGCTAATTTTATATTACGGTGCAGGCCGTGCCCTTGAATGCTTACGAACTTGCTCCTCTGTGTAGTCCATGGAGCGTTGCAAATTGTTTGCAAAGTTCTGCTTTGCAGCACTTGAAGATTTTGCATGTGTGTCTTGGCAAGAAAACACCACGCCGCACATGCATAAGTAATGGCTGGTCTAATATTCATTTTATATAGGCGAACTTTGTTTATCAATCTCAATTTGGAGGATCTACATAACAAAGGCTATATTTGCCGAAGCGCAGTTTGGAGTTTTGTTTTCAAGCCTGCTGTATGTTTCTGCCAGATCATGCCTTTATCAAGGGTGACACCGAGGTACTTGGCAGAATTTGTCCATGGTACACGATTGCCGTCTACAGAAACCTCTGCTGGGGGGCTGCGACGGTTTTTGGTACAATAAATAGCCTGCGTTTTCGAATGATTAACTTTAATCCACTCTAGTACTTCATCCACCGCATTCTGCAACCCATCTTAAACCAGATCGCCAGTACACGATTGGGCGACAAGTGAAGTGTCGTCAGCATAGAGGTAGACTTCACAGTTGCTGGGGCACCGGCCAGTACTGGCCGTGTTGTTGACAAAACGTTGTTAATGTTGATCCGAAGCTTCCTTCCTTCAAGGTAGGATTTCAGTAATTTTAGAAGCCAAAAAGGAAAACCCTTTTGGATTAGTTTAGAAGAGGCTCGCATGCCACACCTTGTCAAAGACTTTTGAGACATCCAAAAGCAGGGTGCCAGTACTCATGCTGCGGGTGAACCCTCTGGTCACATCTTCCACCAGCCTGACTGCCTGTAGCTCGGTGCTATGCTCGGACCGAAAACCGAGTTGAACGTCAAGAATCACACGGTGATTTGACGAAAAATTCCCAATGTGGCGATAAACCACCTTTTCGACGAGCTTAGAAGTAGCTGACAGCAAACTAATGGGACGGTAATTCTGAGGAAATATCGAACCCATCTTTTTTTGAATCATGATAACCTCAGCAGTATTCCACCCAGCAGGGAAGTACTGGATTCTGAGCATCGCATTGATTATTGTCACCAAATATGTCAGAGCTTTCGGCGTGAACAGCTTCAACGCTTTGTTGGTGATTTAGGTGCTTTACGCTTCACGCACCTTGAGGTATTCAATATGACTTAGAAGCTCCGCTGGTGTGCAATGTGGAACATCGAAGGGTTCCGCTAATGTGCTATGTGGAGCCTCAGACAAATCTTCTGATGAATGGTTTGGGGTGCTATAGCTTATGGTTCCAGGTCACCTTTAATCTTCATCAGAGGTAACATGAACGCGCAGCGTTATATCCACGAAGTTCTAGAACCCCATCTTTTACCCTATCTTGACACCCTGGCAGATCCAACTTTCCAACAAGATAATGCTCGACCACATGTTGCAAGAGTCACAATAGACTTCTTTCAACATAATGATGTCACATTGTTACCATGGCCACCAAGATCTCCCGACTTATCCCCAATTGAGCACGTGTGGGATATGATGGGTAGGAGATTGCTCAATTTGCAACGTCCTCCTCAGACTCTAGAAGCACTTCGAGAGGAGTTGGTGGTTGCCTGGAATGAGATACCGCAGGAGGACATTGACCACCTGATCAGAAGCATGCCTAGGCGCGTTGGAGAATGCGTAGCACATCAGGGTGCATCCACACATTATTAAAGGTCAAAGGGCTTTAAAGCAGTGCAATCATTTTGAAATTTTTATCATTTACTTATTATGCTTCATTAAGTACTTATAAAAAATTTTATTAAAATAAAACCATTTAAACTGGGTGTTCGGATTTATATGTCAATTAGTATAATTGTAGCTTAGTTATGGTCGTACTGATTCATTCTGTATCTATATACTATGTATCTAGTGTCTATAGATTTTATACTTATAGTAAATAGTCTATGGGGATTCAGTCTCACTAGTTTTTAAATCCGCCGCTAGAGGGCCTGCACAAAACCTAACGAAATCTGTAAAAACATCATGTTTCGTCGAACTTATCGCCTTATCAGTGTTGTTGTGTTCGCCTGCGGTTATGATAGTAAGTGTAGTATACAGGGGGACCCAAGAATGTTTTATACATTCATGGATGAGCCATACGTAACGTGCGTGACATACGTCATTTATGTCACGTCATGTGACATACAAATATAATTCATAGTTTTAACTTATCACAAAGGATCAGTGAGCCAACAAGATTCAATTTTGCCACAAGAGAGGCTAGCCTCATTGATATAATCTGTGCTAGTGAGGATCTTATCTCTATCGATTCTAAATCATTGGCAGTTTCTCAAAATCTCTCAGATCATAACTTAATTTACTCAGCCTTTCGAAAGTCAAAAATAAATATATCACAAAAGACTATTAAATATAGAGACTACAATAATATAGATAGAGAATCCTTCTTAAATGAAGGGTTTCTACTTGGGTGGGAGGATATTTACTATATAAACCAAATCGACCGAAAAATAGAAGTCTTTAATAAAAATATAGTAACTGTTCTGAATAAACATGCTCCAATAAAAACAAAACAAATAACCGAAAAACCTTATGTACCCTGGATAACTCAAAATATAAGAATTTTAATCAGACTAAGAGATAAAGCTCATAAAAAATTTCAAAAATCAAAATCACAGGCTCATTTTGAATATTATAAACAACTAAGGAACTATACAAAGCATGCAATTATCCGAGAAAAAAATACATTCTTTAACTTACTCTCAACAAAGAAAGGTAAGGAATTTTGGGACACTACCAAAAAGCTCAACATAACATGCAAGAAAACTCACTCAACTATACCCGAACACTTACAAAATGTAAATGACATACACAATTACTTCCAGCAGACCGACAATTTACCAGACACTGCTTCCCAAGAATTAATCAATTTTTACAAAAACAATGTAAACATTAACGATTCTCTTAGCTTCCAACTGTTAGACAGGGCCAGTCTAATCAAAATTGTAACTAATATCTCATCAAATGCCATTGGAGAGGATGGTTTCTCTATGAGAGACCTAAAGTTATGTATCCCATTTTGTACGAATGCCCTGCTGAATATAATCAACACATGTATTTTGGGGGGATTATTTCCAGAAATATGGAAGAAAGCTACTGTTAAACCCTTACCAAAAATAGCAGAACCTAAAGAATTTACAGACTTGAGGCCTATTAGCATATTACCTGCTACATCCAAAATTTTAGAAAGGCATATTTATAATCAAATTAGGTTTTTTTGTGACACAAACGATATCATACCAGATAGTCAATCCGGTTTTAGAAAAAACTTTAGCACAAGTACATCATTAGTTAATATCTTGGATGATATCAGACATCATCAAGAACAAAAAAATAGTACGTGCATGGTTCTTCTCGACTTTAGTAAAGCGTTCGACACTCTGAATCATGAAATGTTACTAGCTAAGTTACATTACCAGGGGTTTTCGCAGAACTCCGTAAATCTAATAAAAACATACTTAAGTAACCGTTCAAACTGTGTTATGTTAGCAAATGATTCTGCTATTTACAAAACCGATTTTAAACCTATAAAAAGAGGAGTTCCTCAAGGTTCAATTTTATCTCCTTTGCTATTTTCAATCTACATATCTGACATGGTCAAATCGGTAAAATTCGCAAAGATAAAACAATATGCAGATGACTCACAAATATATCTCCCTGTCAATAAAACCACAATCCATATTGCACAACAACAACTAAATTCAGATCTCCAAAGAATTGACACATTTGCAAAGCATCACAATCTTAAACTAAACCCCTCAAAATCGCAAGTAATGGTTATGAATAAAAACAGTATTGAAAGAGAACATTTTGAACAAAATTTAGTAATTTCTATTAACAATGACAGAATCCCCATAGTTCAGGAGACAAAAAATCTGGGCATTAACATATATTTGATAGCTCGCTTGGCTTCGGCAGTCATATAAAAAACAGAACAAATTTAGCTTACATGCGACTAAAAAATATAAACAAATTAAAAAAACATTTATCAGCCAAACAAAAATATTATTTGTGTAATACCTTAATTTTATCACTTTTTGACTATGGAGATGTCGTCTATGGTGATTCGCTATCATCGCGAACCAAAAAATGCATACAAAAAGTTCAAAATAGTTGCATGAGATTTGCATTTGGAATTCCATATCGAAACCATATCACTCCTTATCTGAATAACTACAACATATTAAGCATGACGAATCGCAGAAAATATCACATGTATTCTTTTATCTATAGGGTTATAAAAACAGGTCAACCGCCCTATTTAAGAGAAAGATTTGTGCCTTTGCCTAGTGCCCAGAGAAGTAGAAATAATCTCAATTTTATCGTACCTAGGCATAGAACGCGTTCCTTCCGACAATCGTTTGCCTATGTGGCGGTTCACTTATGGAATAATTTACCAACTTCAGTTAAAAGCTCATCGTCAAAAACATTCTCAAAACTGACAAAAACGTTGTTACAGAATCACCAGCTACTTTAGCAGCGTTTGTGTGAGCAAAAATAACGTTTTTACATTCCTACTCGCTGACAAGTTGTATAGATTTGTTTTTCGCGTCCGTTGCCAGCTCCCGGGGGTTCTCTCTTCGTTTTTGCCTTTTTTGTGTTTCACCGCCTCTTCATTTGCCTCTTTATTGTATTTGTTATTTTTTTAAGAACTTTTAGGGTATTCAGGGCTTTCTCGCATGGACTCTTTGTATTAAAGGGTCCAATGTATCGGTTTTATAATCGAGGGACTGTCCTTTTTCGTCATTACTCTATATGTAGAATTTCTTTTGTTTATGATGTTTATTCATGACGAAATAAATATTTTGAATTTGAATTTGAATTTGAATACGTCACGTGCGTGCGTGCATGCGTGCGTGATTGCGTGCATGCGTGTGTGCACGTAAATAACGTATATCGTGCACGTGTCATAAATGACGTATGTCACGCACGTTACGTATGGCTCATCCTGTATAAAACATTCTTGGCTCCCCCTGTATACTACACCTTACTATCATAACCGCAGGCGAACACAACAACACTGATAAGGCGATAAGGTCGACGACACATGTTGTTATATCAGATTTCGTTAGGTTTTGTGCAGCGCCTCTAGCGGCGGATTTAAAAACTAGTGAGACTGAATCCCCATAGACTATCTGCTACTTATATAGACCATATATAACATTTCAGCGATTTATGGACAAATGCAAATCCTGTTTTAATGAAATTTTCCGTCAAATTGATCTATCTGTTTCAGCGGTGCTGTCAAAGTGGATTTATTACTTGGAGCTCATAGGATTGATGTTCATGAAAGCAGCCACTTGTTTCTTTCATCGAACCAGTTGTACCCATTTCCATCTGGAGAAGAAGGTAAGTCATTTTGATGTACCTACTACATTGACATGCAACACTTTGCTTTCTTGAATCTCTACACGGGGGCGTGTTAGTTGATATACATGGCTATGTATCCTGCTTTGAGTGACATCTGATCAATGCGCTGAACACTAACGATATTTGACAGATTCAATGACACTTGACAATATTACCCACAGGTAACTCGTGAACTATTCGTCATTGTTCGTCAGAGCGGTCCGGTGGACCTTTGCTCTTAGTTAAAAGTCTTGTCGGTCTGTTAGTCTGTCAGGTCTGGCTAAACATGTTTAAGGAGAAAAGGGAAAAAGCAAAGAAAGGAAGGAAGAAATAGAGCAAAGAAAAGAAGCAAATCATTTGAAATAGCTTAAGCATTATTGCTTTGACTACTTGAATCATTTTGTAAGTCCAAAAAATAATGTTGATCAGTTTTGTATACTGAAATAGTTTTGGCTGGTTTGAATTCACAATTTAATTTCAATCACTGCCACGCGCGGCCTGGAATGTTTGCGAACTTGCTCGACGTGTAGTCTACTGAATTACGCAACAGAGGTTGCTGTGTGATTAGGCTTAATTATAACGCCGCTATGCTTGTTGTTTTACATAATCCCTTAGATATGGGGTATCAAGGTCACTGTAAATGGTCTCATTTGACACGTAGCAAGGGGCGTTACTGATTGTGCGTAGGATTCTGCATGTGCGTCTAGGTGATTGCGGGTATTATAAACATTTTATATAAGCGAATCTGCAAAACAAAGGATAAAGCTGCCGAAAGGTAATTTGGAATTTTGTTTTCAAAACATCATGCTTCTGCGAGGTCAACCCCTTGTCAATGATGAGTCCAAGGTACCTGACAGATTGTTTCCATGGTATACGAGTTCCATTCACTGATATCTCCGATGGGGCACCGCGACGTTCTTTAGTATAATAGATTGTCTGCGTGTTAATCTTGATCAACCACCGATTCGCCCACTCTGATACTTCCTCCACCGCACTCTGCAGTCAGATTACTAGAACAAGACTGAGCTAGCAGTGCAGTGTCATCAGTATAGAGATAGACTTCACAGTTGCTGGGGCAAGGGACGTCAAGTATATAAAGTGAATAAAGGATTGCTCATAAGACCGAACCCTGAGGAACACCGGCTCTTACAGCGGTGTTGTTGACAACTCATTGTTAATTTTGATCTGAAACTTTCTTCCTTCTAGAAAAGATTTCAACAGTTTTAGAAGCCAAAATGGGAAATCGTTTTGGATGAGCTTCTACAAGAGGCCCATGTGCCACACCTTGTCAAATGTCTTTGATACATCTAAAAGCAAGATACCAGTTCTTTTGTTTAGGGTGAACCCCCTGGGTACATGCTCCACCAGTCTAACTGCCTGTAGCTGCGTACTATGTGAAAGCCAAATTGCACGTCAGGAATCACATGGTGGTCTGACGAGAAATTCTCAAGGTGACGGTAAATCACCTTTTCAGCGAGCTTAGAAGGAGCTGACAGCAGGATAATGGGACGGTAATCCTGGGGGAATATCTAACCTCCCTCCTTTGAGATCATGGTGACTTCAGCGATCTTCCACGCCTTAGGAAAGTAATGAGTTCTGAGCATTGCATTGATTATTGCCACCAGATAAGTCAAAGCCTTGAGCGAAAGCAACTTCAGTGCTTTGTTGGTGATTTCATCCTCTTCAGGTGCTTAACGCACCTTTAGGTCCTTAATGTGGCCTTAAAGCTCTGCTGGTATGCAAAACGGAATCTCAGAGAATTCCGTTGATGTGCTATGCTGAGATTAATCTAAAGAGTCTTCCGTAGAAGAATCTTCTGAAAAAGAGTCACCGATGTTAGCACTGACATTGTTGTCGCCATTCGCTCTGAAATATATCCTTATAAATCTTACAATTTGTCGTTCCTCGTCAAGGTCATTGTCCAGATCATAATTGGGAGAGAACTGCCTTTCCATGACGTCAGCAAAAACCTCCACTTTATCCTCAGCCCTGAAAACTATGTCTCCAGGACCATGAATATGCGGTAGTTGTTCTTGCTTTACGTTTCTGAGCGATTTTGCCTCTTTCCAGAGGGGAATACTTGATTCAAGCATCCCCGCCAGAAAGTCGCTCCACCGCTCATTACGGAATTCATGGAGTGCATTTCTCACTTCATGGGCGAGATTCATCGACATACGAATGTCATCAGGATGACAAGACGTTTTTGCTCGCAGGGAGAAAGAGTCTGCCGTGTCGCTGCACTGGAAACACAACAGCACGCTGTAGAGTTTGGTGAAACTTGTCCACTCAGATTGAGCAGCATCAATTCCGTTCTCATCATGTATGACCGGGACGCTGAGAAACTCTTTGAGAAATGACTTGTCTAGTTCCCAATCAATTCTTTTCCTTGGAGGAGTTTCCTCCTCCACGAAATGTCCATTACCTACCTCCAGGACAACAGGTAGATAGTCACTAGGGATTTCATACAAGATCCTAGAAGCAATACTGAACCTGCAGTTTCTAGATATTGCAAATTCTATAACATCCGGTACCTGAAGACGATTGAATGGATGGAGTGTCGGCTCTTCGATGCTGTGAATAAGATACCCGTTTCGCATCACAGAGTTCTAAAGCCGAACCCCACAAGTGGAGTTAAGCTTTGAGTGCCATGATCAGTCTTTGCAGTTGTAGTCCCCTGCCGCAATAAGAGGCTCCGAACAGTCCAGAAGGACTTCCAAGCCCTCCTCCCGCAGCCTAACACCGCACCTGACATACACCGAGGTGATATTCAACTGTATGCATCCGTCATATTGACCACCACGGAAGCCGCTTCAATGCTTTGCATCTCGGCGTTCGTCCTTCTGTGATAGTCAGTATTAACGAGCACAGCCAAGCCACCACCCCTACCATTCAATCTCTAAGCGCGTATCACATCGTAGTTCGAGAAAGCCAAGCGATCTCCCGGATTAAGTAAAGTTTCCTGCAGCAGAGCTACACGTCTATACTCTCATCCAATAGAGTTTGATGAAATTCCCGTCTTTTGGGAATATCCCTTAGGCCCAGACAATTCCAGAAAAGAATTTTGATAAATGCAGGTTGTCTAATGTACTTAGCCACTCAATGGCTGTGGAAGGATCGCCTGCAATGCCTGAGTGGCGCTAATCAGGGGATTTATTATTTGTTGAAGGGACCTAAGCGCAGTTGCTATGTCCACATTTTGCGTGTTCAAAGTGGGTTGAACAGAGGAGGCAGCCCAAGATGTTGAGACGGCTGCTTCCGCGTATGACTTGCTGCGTCTTTGCGCTATGACTTCCAGATTTAGCCTGGGGGTGAATCTGCAAGTGGGACTGTTAGCGGGATGCACCCCTCCAAAGTTCGCACACCTTCGCTCCTCTTGTCCTGTGAGGGGGCATAAATGTCTCATGTGGTCGGAAGCAGATTTTAAACATTTGGGAGGTGCTGTGTAGTAAGACTGTGCATGACCATACCTTTGGCAGCGGTGACACTACCCAATAAGTCTAGATTTCTTTTGAACTTCAACTCTGATTACTAGACCCAGCAGCTCATGTTCATTGAACAGCTGCTGGGACCACTAATGGCATGGATGCGCCGCCACTGCATTTGAGTCGGATAATGTGAAGAGGAGTATATCCCCTCTGTTCTAATTCCGCTTTGATCTCCTGTTCAGGAAACATTGCGGGTATACTTCTGACTACAGCGTGAATATTTTGTTCTGTAGGAAGAGGGAACGTATGATGTGGCAGGTCCTCCTCCCTGAATAGGCGAACGGTCCTGCGGTAGTAATCGTCAGTTTTCGGCAAAATCCTGATTCCCGCATCAATGGCAACTGCCTAAGCTTATAAAGGTGTAGTTTAGATGTCGCCAATGGGCATGATTCGCCACTGGCGGGGTGCTGTGCTGGTCAACTCACTAGCTACGCGGGATTGTTGAGATAATGCACCATCAGTCGATGCAATGGCCAAAGATTGAGATGTGGTCGCTGCATCGACTGTCATATGACAAGTGGCAGAAGAAGTTGATACGTATAATGAAGCAGACGGTTTTGAGGGGACTGTCAACTTAAATTAGGATTTTGCTTTTGGAGGAGGTGGGAGGTCATCCGTCCTGTCGGTTTTGTTTGTTTTGTCGCTGCGTCTTTTCCTAAGCTTGGCCTGGTTGAATCCGTCATTCTGTATTTCATCGTCGGTCGATGACACGTCAGTCAAATTTTCAAGAGGTCTTTTTGAATTGACAGCCTTGTCAGAGTTCGAATTAAAATGTGCATTATTGATTAACTGTGTTACCTTGGTGGTCGGGCAGTCTATTTTACTGTTTTGGTCCCTAACTGTCTCAGTCAGTTCCTTCATTTGCTGGGCCTGGCTTTCGATCATCAGGGTCAGACGCTGGATGGTTCTGTCCTTTTCGTCTGCTATAGCTGGTGTCATCAATTCCTTTGATTTCACGGTAATTTCTGTTCTCTCCTTCTGGCTGGGTCCAATCATCATCAGGGACGCTGGGGGATCATTAGTTTGATCTCCATGTTTTTAAATCGGATTTTCTTTTTCTATTCGTCATTGTCTGTCAGAGCGGTCCGTAGGACCTTTGCTCTTGGTTGAAGTCTTGTAAGTCAATAGGTCTGTCAGGTCTGGTTGCCCAGATACCAAACAAAGTCAGGGAGAAAGAAGGGAATAAGAAAAGAAGGAAGGAAGGAAGGAGGGAGAGCAAAGAAAAAATAAGTGCGTCAATTTGAGGGGTGCCTTGGCGTTGTTAATTAGTATTCGGCAATTTTAAATTGATCCTAAAATTAACCCTGGGATTGGTTGTTGAAGAAAAATGATAATTTTGGTTGGACCTAAAGTCGCATGATTTAATTTTGCTCACAGTGCGAGTCGCGGCCTTGTGTGCTTGCGAACTTGCTCGACTGTGTAGTCTACTGACTCACGCAACAAAGGGTTGTTATGCGATTCCGCTTGACTATAACGTAGCTGCGCTTGTTGTTTGATGTAGTCCCTTAGGTAAGG